GTGTGTCTTTATAGTGACACAAAAACAGCCTAATACATTAGGCAATCCAAATGTATCTAACATACTATATAATTTACTTATTTATCATATTCATTGTTCATCGTCTATCTGCCCCCACTAGAATGCAAGCTCTATGAAGGCAGGGACTTCTGTTTGTTTCATTTGCTTATCTGTCCCAAGCACAAGCTGTTACCCAGCACATAGCAGGTGCTCAATAAACGTTTGCTGCACGAGCATATTTTATGGGCATAAAGAGAAAAAACAGTCTGTCATATAAGTACAACCACTTAGTTTGGAGTGTGGGGCAGCACTTGGGGATGATGAAAAGAGATGGTGCCTAAAGAAATACAGAGAGAAATGCTAAGCTAGTCATTGGCAAGCCACCATTCCATGGGGACACAGGAAATACATTGTCTTTTTATCCTTCATGTTTTATGCTTATTTTTGAAATCCCTTTGTATCCAGAGTAAAATGTAGGGAAAGAGTGTTATCATCTGTCACGTGTTTACCTGAAGTATATGCTTGATAAATATAGTAGTTTGAAAGGCTGCCTAGATGGAGGGTTCTACACTGTTTTCCACAGGGCTCACCAGGTCAGTGATTCTGGGGTTAGGCCATGTAAATCTCCTAAAGCATCCCTATTCCTGAAATACACACACCCAGCACTGAGAATCACTACAAAAGATGAAATATTTTTAATTTCTTAAAGGATATTTTTAGGGAAGCATTACATATTCACTTGATCAGACAACAAAAGTCAGTTCTCTTGACATTCTTATACAATATGCTGACAGTTATACAATTCTCTCTGACAGTTACCAAGGCCTGAGGGAAAGTGAATCTGCTGTGACACAGTGACCCTCTTATCCAGAGCATAAAATAAATGTCAGATTCTCTCCTGTAGTTTGCAAAACGTAAGAAAGGGCATATTCTCTATAACATAAGCTATAATTTCTAATGCTTAAAGGTAACTTATTTGAAAATAATTCAGATTGAATTGCTATTTCAAGGCTGAAACTCACATATTGCTTTGAGCTTAAATGATCGTTGCTCAGCAAATAAATTGGACATTATTGTAAGTGACAAATACAGTTATCTCTTTTTATAGAGAATAACACTTGCTTTTCCTGTCCTTGAAGAAACGGTTGTCATCATCGTAACCTAATAAGTTACAACTGAGTTCATCATCTCATTCACACAAGCCTGCCATTTTAAACAAGGGAATTACTGCAGTAAACAACTTCATAAATAGAATGGATAGAAGCCATATCTTTCATTTATTTTACAAATTTATTTTTTTAGAGATGGGGTCTCACTATGTTGCTCAGGCTGGAATGCAGTGGGTATTCCCAGGTCTCATCATGCCCCACTGTAGCCTTAAAGTCCTGGCCTCAAGTGATCCTCCTACCTCAGCCTCCAGAGTAGCTGGGACTATAGGCACGTACCACCACACCTGGTTAGAAGCCATATCTTTTAAAAGATTTCTTGATCCTTGTATCTTAGGGAAAAGGCAATTTTGATATATCTTGTGACAGAGATGAACTGATCTGATAGGTTACTGGGTTTTTCTTTCTAATCAACATACAGTATTATTGACTTTTCTGTGTGCATATACTTCTGTGAATTTTAACACATTTATAGATTCCTGTAACCATGCCACAGTTGGATACAGAACAATTATATCTCTCATTCCCCACCCTGCCAACTCCCTTAAACTCTGTCATTGTCACAAGAGTTGGCAAACTACACCTGAGTCAAATCTGGTCCATGGCCTGTTTTCTCAGGGCCCAGAAGCTAAGAATCATTTTTACATTTTTAAAGTTTTGTAAAAAGAACAAAAACCAGAGACAAAAGTAAAGAATATGTGACACAAAGCCTAAACTATTTACTCTCTGGCCCTCTACAGAAAAAGTTTGCTGTCTCCTGCTTTAGAATCACACCTTCCTCCAACTACTAATCCTTGGAAATCACTGATCTGTTTTTCTGTCACTGTAGTTTTGTCTTTTCAAACATAGCATATATATTCCATTTATAACTGGAATCATACAGTAGGTAGCCTTTTGAGTCGTTGTTGTTGTTGTTGTTGTTGTTTTTGACACGGAGTCTCACTCTGTCGCCCAGGCTGGAGTGCAGTGGAGAGATCTTGGCTCACTGCAACCTCTGCCTCCCAGATTCAAGTGATTCTCCTGCCTCAGCCTCCTGAGTAGCTAGGATTACACGCATGTGCCACCACGACCAGCTAAAAAACAATTTTATTTTATTTTTTGTCGCCTAGGCTGCAGTGCGGTGGTATGATCTCGGCTCACTGCAACCTCAGCCTCCCAGATTGAAGCAGTTCTCCTGCCTCAGCCTACTGAGTAGCTGGGATTACAGGCGCACACCACCGTACCTGGCTAATTTTTTTTTTTTTAGTAGAGACGGAGTTTCACCATATTGGTCAGGCTGGTCTCAAACTCCTGACCTCATGATCCGCCCGCCTCAGCCTCCCAAAGTCCTGGGATTACCAGCATGAGTCACTGCGCCCAGCAGTTTTTTTTTATTTTTAAAAGAGACGGGGTTTCACCATGTTGGCCAGGCTGGTCACGAACTCCTGGCCTTAAGTGATCTACCCACCTCGGCCTCCCAAAGTGCTGGGATTATAGGCGTGAGCCACCGCGCCTGGCCTCCATCTCTATTCTTTTGTCACTTTGAGAATATTATATAAACGGAATCATATAGTATGCGACATTTTGAAGTTGGCTTTTTTTGACTCAGTGTACAGCAGAATACCCTTGAGAACCATCCAAGTTGTTGCATATATTAATAGTTCATTGCTTTTTACTGCTGAGTAATCTGTGGTATGGATGTACCACAGTATGTTTAACTAGTCAACTATAGAGAAACATTTTGATTATTTCAAGGTTTTGAACATTGCAAATAATGTTGCTATGATCATCTGTGTACAGGTTTGTATGCACACAAATTGTTATTTCTCTGGGATATATACCCAGGAGTGTGATTGCTGGGTTGTATTTTTAGTTTTTGCCCCTTTTAAAAATTGGACTGTTTGTTTTCTAACTGTTTGGTTTTGAGGGTTCTTTGTATATCCTGGACTGGACATACAAGTTCTTTTTTTAAAATGGATCGTACTTTTGGTGTTGTGTCTAAGAAATCTTTGCCTAACCACTGATGATGATGATTTTCTCCTATGCTTCTTTCTAAAAGGTTTATAGTTTTATGTTTTACATTTAGATATGGAATCAATTTCAAGTTAATTTTTGGAAAAGAGATGAGGTTTAGGCCCAAATTGACTTTTTTTTGTTTAGGGATGTACAATTATTTTAATACCATTTGTTGAATAGTCTTCTTTCTCCATTGAATTGCCAAATGTGGTATTAATATTAATATACCATACAATGGAATGTTATTAGGAATTAAAAAAGGAATGAAGTACTCATACATGCTACAACATGGATGAACCTTGAAAAGATTATGCTAAGTGAAAGAAGCCAGATCACAGAAGATCACATACTGTATTGATTCCATTTATATAAAATGTCCTGAATAGGCAAATCTATAGAGACAGAAAGTAGATTAGTGATCGCCTAGGGCTTGTGGTTTTGGAGGGTAAATGAGGAGTGACTGCTAATTAGTACAGTTTCTTTCTGCTGTGATAAAAATGTTCTAAAATTGTGGTGATGGTTGCAAAACTTTTAATATACTAAAAGCCAACAAATTGTACACTTTAAATGGGTGAAATTGTATGGCCTGTGAATTATATTTCAATAAAGCCATTATAAATGTTTGCGGGGGAGAAGGGAAGAGGAAAGTGTCTTGCTCTGCCACTGAGGCTGGAGTGCAGTGGCACAATCATGGCTCACTGCAGCCTTGACCTCCTGGGCTCAATCAATCAAAATTTTTTTAAAAAGAAGGAAGAATGTTTATGAATCAATCAATGACAGAGCATAGCAACAAGCAAAAATTAGGATAACTGAGCAAGAGGTAAATAGTTTTGGACAATTGTAGAGCAATAATATTAGTAAGAGGTGCTCAGAAAGCAATGTAGTAGGCCAAGCGCAGTGACTCACGTCTGTAATCCCAGTACTTTGGGAGCCCGAGGCGGGTAGATCACCTGAGGTCAGGAGTTCGAGACTAGCCTGGCTAACATGGTGAAATCCCGTCTCTACTAAAAATATATAAATTAGCCGGGCATGGTGGTGGGAGCATGTAATCCCAACTACTTGGGAGGCTGAGGTGGGAGAATCACTTGAACCTGGGAGGTGAAGGTTGCCGTGAGCCGAGATCGTGCCACTGCACTCCAGCCTGGGCGACAGAGTGAGATTCCATCTCAAAAAAAAAAAAAAAAAAAGCAATGTAGTGAGTTTATGAAGTGTTGAATGAGCTTTGAACATAAAGTTCTTTAAAATGACCCGAGCCTATTACTCATAGAGTGCTGGTAGCAGTATACATTGACATAACATTTATGCAAAGCAATTTGTTAATGTATATCAATAATTTTTTTAAAAAAACAAACAAACCTAAGAATCTTTTCTACCATTGAGTGGGGGCAGCAGAAGTCTATGAGATTTTCTTCTCCTTGCCCTAGCATTAATTCACCCCTCTTATTCGATGTGTCTGCTGAACTATCCCTCTTCTTTGGTCAGAATTTTAACAATTATGCATTTTAAGTGTAAGATGATGATTGTTTTAGACAATTGGGTGATAAAAAAGAAACCAGCAAAGTTAACTTTAAAAGTACCAGGGACCAAATGAGAAGACAGGTAAGCCAATATAATAAGTACCTGAACTTGTACTTGCAAATGACTAAGTACTTGTGAGGTTCTTATTTTGTTGAGATCTTCTCTTACAGTTATGGATGGCCGTATGACTAAGTGCTACTTAATGGGATGTAAGCAGAAGTTTTGGGTGGAGGTTCTGGGAAAGCTCTTTTAAAACGAGGTTGACTCACCTGGCAAGCGTCCTTTTGCCTCTTCTCTCTTCAGTCTTCCTCTTTCCTTCAGCCTGGAATACAGACATGATAGCTGGAGTTGCAGTGGTCATCTGGCAACCAGGAGGCAAACTTTAGAGTGGAAAATGTGTGCTAAGAAGGACAAAGCAGAGAGATAGAAGGAGCAAGGGACTTGGATGACTTCATGGGCTTGGCATGCCACCACTGGATTGTCTACCTCTGCCTGCAAAAGATAGAAAATAACCTCCCAATTTATTTAAACCACTCTTTATTTAGTGTCGATTGCCAGCAGCTGAACACAATTCCTAAAGCATGCACTAACATCCATGTGGTGGCATCATCTTATCTTCAATACCTTTCTTCAGATGACGCTAGTGTAAACCTTACATGGAATATTTTGAACCACTGAGGTAGGGCATTGCGTCTCGGTCAATCTCTTCCCTCCACTTCCAAACATAGTGCCTGATAAATAGTAGGTGCCCAGTTAAAATGGATTGACCAGTCATGAGCCTGGCTAAGTCTTGAGCCATACTAACTCTCGAACCCTAGTCTTCAATTTGGCCAGGCTAGCTAAATTGAAGACTATAGCCATTGTGGTTCCTTGAACACAGTAAACAAACTTTACTTCAGTTTGAAGGTAGTACAGTCCAATACCATCACAAATGTATTTAATAAAGAGCCAGTGAAAACATGAGAATAAGACAACTCCTAAAATGAAAAAAAAAGGCAGATGATGATAGAGAAGAAATTATTGCTGTTAAGTTAAGTTTAGCCTAAAGCTGCCTCCTGATATATTTTAAGTTCAGCCTAAAGGCATCTCCTCACAGAGTGACCTGTAACCCAACTGGATGTGTAAACAAACTATGACCTACTCTGGTGCCAACCACTGAGTTTTGGCTAATCACAGGCAGCCAACTGTTCAAACCGTGTGTGTAACCAATCTGGCTGTTTCTGTACCTCACTTTCTTTTTGCTGCCTGTAAATCTTCTTCCACACGTTCGCAGCATCGCAGACTCTCTGAACCTATTCTGGCTTCCTGAACTGTGAACAGTTCTTTGATCAATTAAACTCTGTTAAGCTTAATTTGTCTAAGGTTTTTCTTTTAACACCACACACCAAAAAGTAACTATGGAAGGTAATGGACATGTAAATTTGTTTGACTGTAGTCATCATTTCACTATATGTATATGTATATGTATATGTGTATCAAAACATGTTGTGCATCTTAAATATATACAATAAAAAATAAAAGATGAGATTCCAGACCTGCATTTCTTTTTCTTTCCTAATCCATCTCTCTGTGGTATATTTTGTGTCTCTTGTTCATCTCTCCTGTCCTTTAGACTATAAATGCTCATCTGCTTCAGCATTTGTAAAACTATCATTTTAAAATAAAGTGACCTACATAAATAAGTAATTACCAGGGATGAATAAATAATAAAGGAAGGATAAGGGAGTACACACACATGCTCATGAGTCACACACATAAAGAACCAGCAGTGGCATTCGGCTGGGTCACCAGGATAGAGGAAAATCACCAGGAAGGAGAGAGGAGTCACGCAGAATATGCCCGGGAAAAGGAAGGTTCACATAAATATTAGAGGAAGGAAGCATTACAAACCAGATTGGAAATTTTGTCTTCTGACTTTCAAAAATGCATTTTTAAATGCCTGGAGGGGCTGGCATCTAGCTCTCCTTTCAGACTGTGGAAACTGTGTTATCCCTATGACAAACCTACAGCCAAGGAAAATAAAATGTAGTCAGCCCTTCAGCAAGAAGTGTCTGGAGACCATGTCTGTAAGGAAGAAGACATGAAACAGTTTAAGCTATAGAGCGATGAATTTCTCATACATCTTTTCTTGTGACCTGAGATCAGGAGCTTCTGACCCTAACATTATGGAAGAGTGTTTAGCTCCTGATTTGAAAAATATATGGCATATGATAGAATGTTCAGCGACAGACAACAGGGTGGACTTGCAGGAATAAGGCCGTGAGAAGTCATAGACTTGGACTTCCTGTCCATATTCTACTTCTAACTTTGCCCATTTCAACTTTGCCTCCTACATTTTTGGCTCAGCATCTTTTAAGAAACTTTTATTTTTCGCGTCATTTTCTTTATCCTACTTCTTTATATTGAAAATTTTTAATCCTATAGAAAAGTGTAAAACTAGTACAATAAACACCCACATACCCTTTACCTAGATTCGCCACGGCTAATTTTTGTATTTTTAGTAGAGACGGGATTTCATCATGTTGGCCAGGCTGGTCTTGAACTCCTGACCTCAGGTGATCTGCCCGCCTCGGCCTCCCAAAGTTCTGGGATTACAGGGTGAGCCACCATGCCTGGCCCTCTTTCCTTTCTTTTAAAGATTATCCTGAGCTTTTTTTTTTTTTTTTTAACCTTTCATAGCATTGACATTTTGTAATAGTCCAGGTCAGCTGTTTTGCATAATGTTCCTGAATTTGGTTTGATTATTTCCTAATGATTAGAATCTTTTTTGGGAGGAGGGGGCAGGAATACTTAATGTGTGATCTGTGTCCTTAGTGCATCACATCAGAGGGCACGTGATGTCAATTTTTCCCATTATTGGTGACATTAAATTTGATCATTTGGTTTAAGTGGTGTCCACCAGACCTCTCCATTATAGAGGTACCTTTTCCCCTTTATAATTCATGATTACAACTAGTGGTACTTTGAGACTGTGAATATATTATTCTGTAACATTTTACTTAATGATTTTACATCTATTGATGATTCTTGCCTGAATCAATTATTACAATGGTGATTGCACAATTTTGGTTTTCTAATTCTAACAATCCTACATTAATTAGTTGGTCTTCTTCTGTAAACAACTTTCCCTTCTCCTCCTCCCTACCTCTTAATTTTTTTAAGAATAGGGTTGGTTTGAATTCTTTATTTAATGTGTTACGATCTGTTCCAGTCCTTATTTTAATACTCAAAACTGTCCCATATTTAGCAAGTGAGAGCCCTTTTAAGCTGGCTTCTGCCTTTTTTTGGCATGACTTTATCAGTTTTGTTTTTGTTCAGTAAGTCCTCACTTAAGGTCTTCAATAGATGCTTGGAAACTGTGACTTTAAGTGAAACAAAGTATTAAAAAGTATTTAAAAACCCAGATTCCTTCCTTATCAGTGTTATGATGAAACAATGTTATTCAAGGACCTGCTGTACACCATTTCGCTTGAAGTTGCAGTTTCCAAGAACATATCAATGAGATTAAGTGAGTACTTACTGCACTTCCATATTTCTGTCCCACAAGATATTCCAAGTTCCCTTTATACTTTCCCTACTCCAGCCTAGAATCATCTATTTCTCCAAGAAGCCCTGGTTCTTTATAGTGGGAAATAATCTCTACAGACTAAGATCTGGGCACTAGATATGTTCATTGTTATCAAGGTATTTTCCACAGATTTTTATTTTATTTTATTTTGAGACGGAGTTTCGCTCTTGTTGCCCAAGCTGGAGTGCCATGGCATGATCTCGGCTCACTGCAACCTCTGCCTCCCAGGTTCAAGCGATTCTCCTGCCTCAGCCTCCCGAGTAGCTGGGATTAAAGGCATTCGCCACCACGCCTGACTAATTTTGTATTTTCAGTAGAAATGGGGTTTCTCCATGTTGTTCAGGCTGGTCTCGAACTCCCGACCTCAGGTGATCCACCCGCCTCAGCCTCCCAAAGTGCTGGGATTACAGGAGTGAGCCACCACACCTGACCTATTCACAGATATTTTAAACAGAAAAGAAATATCATCGAGAACAGTCATTTCTGGTGGGCTGTGTAAGGCTGAATTAGACAAGAATGTAGAAAGTATAAGAAGAATTTTAGAAGGTAGGTAATATTTTTGATAATGTTTTTCATTTGTGTAAGATGAACTAAGTGCATGACACCTGGTAATGTCAAAATTGACTCTCATATTAAAAGCCATATTGAACATGCCATGCTCTCATCAGCATGGTAATATACATTTTCCATATATAATCTAGAACGTAATTTGCATCATTTAACATAATTTTTTTTTTTTTGAGATGGAGTCTCGCTCTGTTGCCCAGGCTGGAGTGCAATGACACGATCTCGACTCACTGCAACCTCCGCCTCCTGGGTTCAAGCAATTCTCCTGCCTCAGCCTCCCAAGTAGCTGGGATTACAGGCATGTGCCACCATGCCCAGCTAATTTTTGTATTTTTAGTATTGGGGTTTCACCGTGTTGGCCAGACTGGTCTTGAACTCCTGACCTCAGGTGATCCACCTGCCTTGGCCTCCCAAAGTGCTGGGATTACAGGCATGAGCCACCGCACCTGGCTCGATTTAACACAAATTTTAACCCCACATTTATTTATAGTGAAATGTTCTTCCTAGGTTTGCAACCTTATTCACACTTACAACTATTTTGGGATTTTATTTGAGAAGAGGAGGAGAGAAGACAAATGAAGAAAGAGAAAGGAAACACAAGGTGCTTTAATTAGAAAAAACCACTGGTAGATTCACTGGTAGTTGAATCTATCATCTGAATGAGTATTGACATAAAGCATAGGTTTATAGGTTTATAAAGAGATTTCCTTAATTCTCAGGGAAGCTGTGTGGCACAGGCTATTAACTATCCAATACTGCCCACTCCTCTAGAACTGAGCAAAGTAGGAATCTTCATAAATTATTTTTTAAATGATTATTGTATATGTAACCCACATAGAGCTGAGCTGTACCATGGCCCAGTCATAACATAGTGCTGTTTTCGAAGAAAACAGTTCAACATTCAAGAAACAAATTCAAAAGTAATTTAAATTTTAATAAATCATCTTAATTTTCTTTTATTTTTGGTAAAACATTTTTTAAATTCCAAAGGGAGGTTCTATTTATATTACATGGGAAAACTTGTATAAATCTTTCCCCCACCATTTCTCCCTCTCTTCCCATCCCTAACTTCAACATCTTATGCACGTGGCAGAAATCCTCTATCCAAAACCCTCCATCCTGTCTCCAAAACTCATTTAGAGCTAGCTGTCTTCTTTTTCTGCCTCCTTTATTACCTTCCAGATCTTCTCATTTCTTTTCTTCTAGTATCCCCTGCCCTTTTTAAAACAGACTTTATTTTTTTAAAGCAGTTTTAGATTCAGAGCAAATGTAGGGGGAGGTACAAATATTTCCCATACTCCCTTTCCCCATACATGCATAGACTCCCACATTATCAACATCCCCCACCAGAGTGGTATATTTGCTACAATTGATGAACTTACACTTGACACATGATTATCATGCACAGATCATAGTTTACCTTAGAGCTGCCTCTAATGTATATTCTATGGATTTGGACAAATGTATAGTGACATATATTCACGTGGAAGTAACTGATTTGTTTTTTATTTTATAGGCTCATAGGCAGAAGGGATTTGCCTCTTCTCAAATGAGACTTCAGATTTAGACTTTTGAGTTAATGTTGAAATGAGTGAAGACTCTGGGGTACTGTTGGGGAGGCATGATTCGTTTTGAAATGTGAAAAGGACATGATATTTGGGAGGGGCCAGGGTGAAATGATATGGTTTGGTTTTGTCCCCACCCAAGTTTCATCGCGAATTTTAATCTGAATTGTAATCCCTATGTATTGAGGAAGGGACCTGGTGTGACATGATTGGATCACAGGGGCGGTTTTCCCCATGATGTTCTCATAATAGTGAGTGAGTTCGCAAGAGATCTGGTCTTTTGATAAATGTCTGGTGCTTCCCCCTTCACTTTCTCTCTCTCCTGCTGCCATATAAAATGTGCCTTGCTTCCCCTTTGCCTTTTGCCATGATTGTAATTTTCCTGAGACTTCCCCAGACACGCAGAACTGTGAGTCAATGAAACCTCCTTTTATTATAAATTACCCAGTCTCAGGTAATATCTTTATAGCAGTGTGAAAACGGACTAATACACCATGTATTTAAAGGACTTGAGTGTTATGATCTAAGTTTTTGGTCACTGCAGCCAGTATTATGGTAACCCAAGTCCAGTAACACTGTGGCTCTTATAGGCTCATAGAGGTGTCACCTTGGTGTTCTTGGATAAGATGTGGAAGAATTCCCTGTATTACCAGGCAAAGATTCTTGTTCTCTTCCCTTATTTTTTCCCAAACAAATGGAGCCTCTCTCTCTCTGTGCTGAGCTGCCCGGAACTGGGAGAGGGGTGACACAAGCACCCCTGTGGCCACTACTACTGGGACTGTGCTGGGTCAGACCCAAAGCCAGAACAGCACTGGGTCTCACCCAAGGCCTGCTGTAACTACTGCCTATGTTTGTTCAAAGACCTAGGGTTCTACAATCAGCAGCTGGTGGAGCCAGTCAGGTTTCTGTCCTTCTCTTCAGAGTGGCATGTTCCCACCAGCCCTGGGCAGGTCCAGAGATGCTGTTTGGGAGCCAGGGCCTGGAGCCAGAAACCTTAGGAATCTACCTGGTGCTCTATTCTACTGCAGCTGAGGTGGCAGCTGAGTCACAAGACAAAGTCCTTCCCACTCTTCCCTCCACTTTCCACAAGCAGAGGAGTCTCTTCCTGTAGCCACCACCACCCCAGGACCATGGCAGGTACTACCTGGCTAAAGTCAATGTTCACTTAAGGGCCAAGATCTCTTCAGTCAGTTTGTGGTGAATGCTGCCAAGCCTGGGACCCTCCCTTTAGGTCAGTGGACTCCCCTCTGGCCCAAGGCAGGTCCAGAAATGCTGTCTAAGAGCCAAGGCCTAGAATCAGGGACCCCCAGAGCCCATTTGGTGCTTTGGCCAAGCTGGTACCTCAGGTGCAAGACAAAGTCCTCTTTACTCTTTCCTCTCTTTTTCTCAAGCAGAAGAAGGCTCTCCCTGTAGCCACCACAGCTGGGAATGTGCTGGGCCATATCTGAAGCCAGCATGTCTCTGAGTCTCACCCAAGGCCCACGGCAAGTACTGCCACTGCTGATTATTTAGGGCCCAAGGGTTCTTTAGTCAGCAAGTGATTCATCCTGCCAGGACTGGGTTCTTCCCTGCAAGGCAGCAGGTTCCCTTCTGGCTCAGGGTGTGTCTAGAAATGTCATCCAGGAGCCGGGGCCTTGAATGGGGGCCCCAGGACTCTGCCTCATGGCCTCTGCTACTGTGGTTGAACTGGTATCCAAGTGGCAATAAATGTCCTCTTTACTCTTCCCTGTCCTTTCTTAAGCAAAAGGAAGGAGTCTCTCCCAGAGCTGCAAGCTGTGCAGCCTGGGGTTAGGGGAAGGGTGGCACAAGCATACCCTT